AATGATTTAGTACAGATTGTGATGGCCTTTTATGAGGGTAAGAAAAATAATTTCAAAACAATTTTCTATCATAGCTTTGTGGATTAAATAATTTTCGAAGCAAAAATTTGTGGTTCAAAGGATACTATGAAAAAAATAAAACTAAATTGATTAAATTTTGATTATTTTTTTTAATATCGTCTTTTAAAAATTCGTACACTCTATGATGTAATAAGAATTTCTTCTTCGGAATTTTATTATGTAATAAGAAAGGAGAGCTTTCAATAATTTTAGAAAATATTTAGATGCCTTGTTATACGGTATTTATCGTATTTTGTATTATTTTATGGTATTCGGTATTATTTAATTCTAAATTTTGAAATATATTGTATGTTAAATATTCTGATGTTAAATAAATATGTTAAATTCGATTGCAAATCTGGATCTGCTTTAATTATTTTCCCGAGGTACGTGCAAACTTACTTTTTACTTAAAATTTACTTAATACTAATTTTCTATTAATTCTTTTATTATTTATATATTAGACATTAAAGCACAATTGCATTAATGTTCAGTATCCATTGTAGAGTAAAAATATTTATTTATACGTTATTTTAACATTCTCTAGCTCAGCAACCTAATTAAATTATTTCAATCAATACAAATAAATGTATAGCGAAAGACAATTATTATTTATTTAAATTAATAATCGATACATCGATTAATATATTATGGTTTCTTAATCCATTCTAAACGTAAGAAGCGGTAGATTTTAATATTTATATTTACATGTGTAAATTTACGCTTGACAAACATCATTGAAATTCTTTTAGAGTTGTTTCAGTCCGTTCAATGACACGTATATGAAATCTATTTATTTGTATATATATTCACGAAGATATATTTATGCATATATGTATACATATAAATATATTTATATGTATTATATGAATTTTGATTTACTTTCGTACTTAATATGGAAATAAAAATGCATTAGTATGTCAATAAAGTTCATTATAAGATATAGAATTAAAAATGCAATGATAGAAGAGTCGCTTGGACTCGACACTGACACGAACGTTTTAAAACTGTCAAATTCGATCGCTTAAAATTTAAAGATACTTTGGCACGTTTTATTTTATTTGTTAATCATACCTTTGGTATAATGGCTCAATTTGCGCTCCGAAGCGAACCAATTGTCGCTACGACCGAGATATCCGAATGAAAATCTCCTTTTTTTTTCAAAAGACGAAAAGTATGAAAAATGAAAAGAAAAAGAAGATACAATGCCTAACGGGTTACTCGAGAGAAGTCGATAAACGTCAAATTGATGAGATGGGGCGCAATAGTGACCCTTGGACGGTCGATATAAATCATTCTCAAAGGTCGCCTGCAGCATTGGCACGGTGCAACAAAGCACCCCGTGCAACTTGGCTCTAGATTCTCGCCGGGTTTACTTACGTCTTTCTCCACCTTCTAGGAATACACTAGCTCGTAACATTAGTCCACTGTGCGTTATATTTATCCAACCTGGCACAGCATCCCGCGGCCCTCTGGCGTGTCTCTCGGTTATATATAATAAACCTGACCCGAGGTCGAAAAAACGTGTGCTCACGGTGGTGTGCATATATGCGATAACGAAAGAACGAGATTGCGATGCATCACGAGGCTGCTTTGAAAATATCGAGTTTAAGACTAATGTCATGTATATATCTTTTATTATATACCGTTTATTAGCGAAATCAATTACCCGAATCTTTTTACGTGCTTGATGAGATAAATTTTCATTCTCACGATATCCGGTCTTCCCTCAGGTGTTCTATTAAATTATAAAATGCTAAACTTCTCATGAAATTGCGTATCATTAATGTTTTATTTATACAAATGCATATTGAGTTCGATAGTTGATATGATTTTAAAAATGAAATAAGAAAACAATGATAATATTGAGAATATTAATGTTCTTGCAAATGACAATTAAAAATGTATTCGTATTTTAAAGGAAAACAACGACTGATGAATAATATATAATTATAGAAAAGAACGAAAGGATTTCCTTGAATTGTTCAAATTTTAAAAATATAATTATTTCATGGAACAAGTGGTTAAGATAACCATTATATTTATTAATATATTCAAAGCAATGACTTTATGAGTCATCAAAATAGATTTATGAACATTAGTAATTTAAACTATTCTAAATTTGACAGTTTTTCTCTGTTCATTTTAACTATCATAATTTCATATATTTTACACTTTACTACTATCTTTGAAATTTAATTGTACGTATTTTAAATACTTAAAAGTATTATGAGGATATAAAATTCATCATAAAGGAAAATAAAATATAAAACTATTAGTATTTGTTTTAGGATGTTCGATCGGGAATATTGAAGAAACTGAATATATTAATTTTCATAAATTTACATTTATATTTTACAAGCTCATAAGAATTTTTATATGAAAAAAGCCAATTTTATATATAGTTAACTCATAAAAAATATATAATGTACTCTTTGTATTTAAATGATTAGAATTGTGAAGCTGAGTTTATGGCAACCGTGGCATTCATTTTATTATTGGATTTGTCGTAAAAACCAGTCTCACCATGATCGACAAATATATATATATATATATATATATATATATATATATAGATATATATATATATATATATATATATATATATAGATATATATATATATATATATATATATATATATACACACACACACACACACACACACACACACACACACATGCATTAGTTTGGCACGTGTTAATTCTGTGTCGAGTGATGTAATGACATTTGTTTCTGATCAGCTTTTTCGTCTGTCATACCTTTCAAAAGGAATTTGAGCCAATGCATTTTTGAGGAACTCTCGAATCGCAAAAGTTTCCATGCAATTATACTATTATACGTGATTTATGAATATTTAGTTGCTTAATGAATTTCCATTAAGCATTTAATGATCATTACTTCGTAATTTCGTGAAAAATTTAATAGTAATATTTTGTTTTTATAACTGGTATTTTATGACACTATAACTACATCCTACTTTAATCATTTAATGATATTTATCAAATAAAAACTTTCGTTAAATATATAAAAATAAATATGGAATCTCAAGTTATTAATACTACTTTTACTACTTTACGATTGAACCTGAATTAAGAAATCTTTTTGTATAGAGAGAAAATTTAGTTGGATATCTAATCGGAGTTTTAATTAATGAAAATCTGAAAGCTTTAGCGTACTATCGTTGAACAAAACGAGGCATTTAATATTTTTATTAAAATATAAATTTATGAAAATTTATAGATTAAAAATATTGGTATTGTATACAATAATTTGCATTATGTTTTATTTTATATTCCGAGAATAGTTAAAATATTAATAAAGTTTGAAAGGAAATAAAAACGTTAAAATGAATTTTTCTCATATATTAATAAGGTATATAAGTACCAAATATAATTAATGTCATAAGTAGTACATTATGTGAAAAATTGAAATAAAAATTAAAAGAAATCTGACAAGCATCCAGTATTATAAATATTATAAATATATTTAATAAGAATAATAATAATAGTTTTAATATTACGTTATCTAGTCATTCATTGGTTTTTTCTATACATCAAATTTAAATATCTAATGAAATTTTTCCAAATTTACATTACGCACAATCTGTTTTTCGACTAATAAATAACAAAGGAAATATTCCAATAATATAGCTATGTTATTCTTACTTAGATTTTTTCAAATGACATTTTTCCTCTTTCATAATCGAGTGAATTTCAAATTCAAATCGTTTAATTATACTGATAAGTACATTATTGACTCTAGCGATTTAAAATTGCCATATGCAGTCGAAGTACCTATTGAAGTTTAAAAAATCGAATAAATTATGAACATATTGATTTTAAGTTCTAACAATAATTGTTCATAAAAATCCTTCTTATGCTGAGAATTTACTTTAGTTAGGTGTTATTATTTAAGTTCCTATTTTAGAATTCTACAAAATAAAAAATACAAGATTTTAGACAAAAGGAATTGTATTAAAATTATATCAGGACAGATTATAAATCTATAGATTATATCATAGAAAATATTATAAGCGGTATGTTTTGTATAATTTTATAATTTTATTAATAGACTCGTAAGGAAATAATTTTAAGCAAATTAAAAAAATTTTTTTATATTTTATATTTAGATTTTTTATACAAATACTTCGTAATATAAATATTTATACTTATTAACATAGAATTTTATTAACCGAAATCTATCAATGAATATATTTAAGGTATTGCAAATGTACTAGATTTTTATTCGTAAGTAAGATTAGAGACATTAGGTACTTGGATATTTATTATATGATCAATTATAAAAATGACGTAGCTTTTGTATTTCTACAATAATTTTATTTGAAAATATTTTATATTATATTTATTAATGACGGCAATACTGTAATTGAAAAAATACACTGTAATTGTAAAAAATTCATTCTGACTTGTAATCACGTTTATTTTTTATACTTGACAAAAAATATTTTAAATAAATCAAGAAATTTGCTTTACAAAGTTGATGCGTGCATGCTAAATTATGAAAATTTAAATATTCAAAAATAATTATATAATTTAAATCAAAGAATAAAATCTTTGATAGGAAAATTTATTTATTTATTTTTTTAAATATTGTCCATGATTATTACCATAAGCTCGTATGAACAATTAGAAGTATAAATATTGAAAAAGAAAGTATAAATTTATTATAAACATCGTGAATTGGTTATTCATTGTATAATGAATATTATATAATTCTTAGGACTTCAGTTTTAAAATAAAATATGCTTAGTTGTAAAAGAACTGTGATTATTCTGTGCTTTAAAAACGTTTCAATTGTACATAATTTATTTACATTGCAATACTACTAGATTATTAGTTATTACATTATATTAGATACGTCGGCACATAAAGCATGAGAGACGCTAATAAATTATTGTTTTTATTATTGTTTTAGTTGATGAAAATTTCGAATACGATTCTTGGAAAAAATCTCTTTACGTATTTAATGAAGTCTACATTTTATGGTCATTTTGTTGCTGGAGAAGATGAAATAAAAATTGCGCCGGTACTCGAAAGATTGCGACAGTTCGGTGTTAAACCAATCCTTGATTACTCGGTAGAAGAAGACATTTCTCAAGAGGAAGCTGAACGACGTGAATTACAGTAAGTATATTGATTTAAATGTTATCGGGATAGTTATAAATATATTTTTTTATATTTAAGTAATTTATTTTCATTGGTCAACAAAATTTTTTTGTAAATTTCTTTTTCGATATAAGAATACAGGAAGATTAATTGATTATTAAATTATTGTATTATTGTCTGCACTGCGAATAAATTGTTTTGAATTTTTACTAAAATAATTGCATTTGAATACATGTAAATTTTTATTTTTTCTATTAAAAAAATTATATTGTAATAGCAACAAACAGACACATATTTTCTACATATAGAATCAACAATATATTTCATCGAGGAGTCTCAAATTTTCGAAATTATGAAAAATTTACATTCATTGTTGACCAATTTTTCATAAAAAATTATTATTATTACATAATAAGACTAAAATTCATTCATAACTATAACATTCATAAACAGTATCGTGTTAATTTTATTAAATGCAATAACTAAATTATCAACCAAAACAAGATAGTAAAACCTTATCTGATTTATAGTCTATTAAGGGATATTATCATAACACACTTGATGAATTTGAAAATTTAACTAAATTTACCATTTTTTAGGGCATCCGTATCTGAGGCTGGTGATGAAAAAAGTTCCGGAACAATAAAAAAATACCACGTGGAAAAATCTTTCGCTGATAGACGATACAAAGTATCCTCCGCGAGAACATATTTCTACTTGAATGAAGCTTCTTGTGAAAGGAACATGGATATTTTTATTAAGTGTCTTGAGGCAGTAGCACGTTAGTTTTTTTTTTCTCTCGATATGTTATATTCAGATATTTTAAATTCATGTATATGCCATTATTGGTTATCAATCAATATTCCATATGAACATTTTTTTCTAGATAATTCACATGGAACAGGCTTTACGGCGATAAAACTAACTGCTCTTGGAAGGCCACAGCTTTTGGTAAGTAAAAGTAATATTTTGTTATTAGTAATTACAAAAAGATATTGTTAGATTAAAAATTAAATTAAAATTTTTTAAAACATATTCCAATAAATTAATAATTCTTTAATATTTCATTATTTATATGGTCACTTATTCAATAAAATCTTATTTTAATTTCGGTATTTTTCAATATTGTAGATCAAAGCCTTCGAAACATGCAGTTATAGGTAGTGTTACGTAACGCATTATGTAATATTATTTATTATTAAAGAAATAGTTCAATTTTTTCTACAATTCTTTTCTTTATATGAAACTATTGATAATAGAAAATGCAGTTTTGTTTATTCGATATGCATTGAAGTTCTGATTAGAAGAGCGTAGAAGACAGCAACACAACATTTTACATTTTTCCAATTCTTATAATTTTATATTTTTCATTATTTCAGCTACAACTGTCTGAGGTAATTATGCGTGCACGTCAGTACGTCTCGGATGTCGTGGGTGGCGAGGGCGCCGTATTGGCACACCACGCCAAACCTGAAATTTTTGAGAAAAAGTTTGAAGAGGCGCACATAAGAGAGTCCGCTCCTGTTCAGAAATTCTTGAAAAAGATTCAGTCAGACAAAGAAGGGTATGATATATAAATAGCACATTGTTGTTTTTTCTCGGCATTTGTACACATTGTAAACGAATAAAAGCTCACTTAAAAAAAAAACACAATATTATATAATTGAATGTATAAATACAGATTAAGTTAGTAGTTAGCGTTGTGTATAATTAATATCATTGCTCTAATGAATCATATTTTTTTATTACATGGATGCTGTCTTTGGATTTGCAGAAAGTAAGAAAACAATTTTAACAATGGAATTGTGTTATACCTTTCATTTTCTATTTAATTTTCTATTATATTTTGTTTTCCAGTAGAGTAGTAAAATTCTTTATTTGAATTATATTTAAATATTTAGTGAATGCATATTTTATTGACTTAAAGGTAGTTTGAGTAGAGATAATTCTTAGCAGAGTTTTGTGATAGAAAAACTTGAGAAGTTATTTAAGTAGTTGGTCTCTAATATATTTGTTTTTAATCTAATTAGTTATTAAATTTATTAAAATTTGCTAATTTAAATTCTAGTAAAGGAGGTATTTGTGCTAAAAGTTTTACTAAAACTAACTAGCAAATTTAAATAATTTGTATATAATTTTTGAATAATTATGAAATTTTTATTTCCCCATTTGATGTATTATTTGTAAGTTATGATTTTAATTTTTATTATTAATACTTATACTTTTTTTTTTTAGCGTCATCCATTTATTTCCATGGAGTGGTATTTTGGACGAGAACTACGAGTTAAGCGAGACTTTCCAAGTGCCGGATATCAAGACGGGACAAATGGTTAAACTAATGACCCAATTAACAACGAAAGAAGAGGAAATGTTTCGAAATATGGTTAGACGACTCAATACTATTGTAGCGGTAAGATATTCGTTATGAAACATATTTATGAAATTAATATTTTTCATGAGTTTTCTACGTTTATATGCTAAAGCTCACATTTTTGCAGTTATAAGTTTTTTTTTTTTTTTTAATTCACAGTAATAAAGTTGATCAGCTAATATTATAACAAATCGAAGTGTGAATAGTAAAATTATGATTTATATGATTTTAAATATAAACAACCTGTTACATATACTTAGACGGCTAATTTATAAAAGATGAATTTAGATTTAATGAATTGAAATTGTAAAACATTCAGTATAGTGGATGCATCCACGAATAATTATCGATTTTTCGGTGTAATGAAATAATCTGCTGCTATTTGCAAATTAATATTAATGCCGTTGAATAAGATTTCTCGAAATATTGTATCTTATTAAATATGTAGAAACGAAATTTTAACATGAAAACATATTAAACTATTTTCTATTCCTTTTAATATACGTTTATAATTGTAAATTATTAATTTTTAATGGTAGACGGCCGATAAACTGGATGTGCGCATCATGATAGACGCAGAGCAGACTTACTTCCAACCGGCTATTTCTCGATTGACACTGGAGATGATGCGCAAGTACAATACAAAGAGGGTAATTACTCGTGACCATGAGAATAGTTCCATCACATGAGTATCATTACAGATGTTATCACTGAATGAGCTCTCAAATCTCAATGTGTGGTCTACCCCCTCCTAGGCCGTGGTCTTCAACACGTACCAGACATACCTACAGGATGCGTTTATGGAGGTTAAGACTGATCTCGAACAAGCTGAACGTCAGAACTTCCACTTTGGTGCCAAGATAGTGCGGGGTGCTTATATAGAGCAGGTAAGTCCAATAGACATCGACGTGGAACATTCCAGTGTCTTCGACATTATGCTACTCATTTCATCAGGTTGGGTACTCCTTTGTTTTTCGTTGCATATTTAAGTAGCTCTGAACTTTTACAGGATGTATGATCTGTTTTTGGTTGTGTCTTATTTCAGGCTACTGCGTTCCACTGCTTTGGATTTATTCAATATACATAGACAAAAATATATATAATATTTGCATTGTTTTAAAAGATCAAGTTTCAAATCTAAATGGTTTTGAAAATTACAAAATCATCTTACATTAATAATTAATATCAAAGAATTAAGCAATCAACATTTTACATTTTGTCCGAACATTTTCATTATTGATCAATGTAAATATTACAGTTTTTTTTTTCTTTAATATCAAAACAATCTGTCACTTCATTTTTGTATTAACAGATTCGGTGCTACAGTGAAAATGTAATGCTCATCTTCATTATCAAGTTTATTTAATTTAATATTCGAAACAATTTAAAAAATGTAAATTTACAATTTTCAATATTTAATTATTGTATTTTATTAGCCGCAAAGATTATTAAAAAGTACAAGTAATTTTTACTCGACAGATTTTTAAATTATTCTTCATAATTCATAATTTTTCACAAAGTATTGATGCATAACACGATATCTTCTATTGATTGTAATAATTTAGGTTTATAAGTACAAAACATTTTCAAGAAATAATTAACAAACATAAAATTAATCCATACACATTTAATTTTCTTATAATAATTTCAAATTTATTCAAATTGTATAATCATTAATCGTTTTAATATAAGAATAAAGTGATTCACAAATTACAGATTAATATAGATTTAGAACATAGTAACTTGTACTAAAATAGTAAGTAAACTAATCATTTACCACGCACATATGTTTTTATATAGGATATGCATTTATATATATATATATATATATATATATATATATATATATATATATATAATAGTGTTAATTATTTAAAACGGTGTTTAATAACATCATATTTAGTTATGAATAACTCGTATTTTGAAGTAAACGTCAACATTTGCAAAAAAAAATTTTATTAGTAAGTTGTAAAAGAGGAATCATGGGACCGTCTCTTCACGTAAAAGCATAATATGCTTATAGTGCATCAGTCATTCCAATTTTATTTGTGTATACTATATTGTTATTTTACTTGACTCATACATAAAGGAGAGAGCTCGAGCTGCAGCAATGGGCTACGCAGATCCGACGAATCCTTCCTACGAAGCTACTACGGAATCATATCACAAAACTCTTATGGAGTGTCTACGCAGAATGAAGCAGTACAAAGACAAAGGCGAAGATTGCAACAAAATTGGTATCATGGTGGCTTCGCACAATGAAGATACAGTGCGCTTCGCTATTGAAAAGTAAATCGTGGCAGTTGTATAAATTTATTTATTTCAATAATGCAAGGATTGTGTCGTGGTACTTGTGATAGTGAAAGTATCTATCTATATATTTTATGTATATATTTTCATATTTTCATAATACAAGTGCTCTTTCGAGGTACCTTTTAAATGCTCCATTTCCATTGATTTTAAATAATAAATCTGAAATTTCAGAAAGAGATGGAATTATTATTATTATTTTTTTTTAATCAATTTTTTTTTTAGATATTTCATTAAATGTCATAGAAGAAAGAATTGCTAGTCCTTATTTATTATTTTCTTGGAGGAAGTCAAAAGTAAAAATAAAATATAATTTCTTCAACTACAGTAAGCGTCATATTTTAAGAAAATTGAAATTAAAATCAAAATTAACATGTGAATCTGAAAGTGATATTAAGATTAAGCAATGAACAAAAACTCCAAGTAATACTTTAACAAAGACGAATAAAGAAATTTATCTATATCTAATGTATTTGCAATGTATTCTATTTGCAATGTAATGTTTATTAAAATTGTGTTTAAATTAAAAATTTTTATTAATAGTCACTTAAATTATTTATAGAATGAAGGAAATCGGTATTTCGCCCGAAGATAAAGTTATTTGTTTTGGTCAACTATTTGGCATGTGCGATTACCTGACATTCCCACTTGGTACGTAACATTTCTCAAAACTTTTCCTCCTTTATAATTAAAAAAATTGTTTTATATTCGATCTTGTCATTAAAAATAACATTAATTAATGGCGTTGACACAAGTTTTCAATTGCGTTCTCACGATTTTCTTATTTAATCCTTAGTCCATTACCGCAAAACTTTCTACAAGCATTTCTAATAATTTTGCAAAATTATATTATAGGTCAGTCCGGTTATTCAGCCTATAAATACATACCATATGGACCTGTGAATGAGGTGCTACCGTATTTGTCCCGACGAACGCAGGAAAACCGCGGCGTACTTAAGAAGATCAAGAAAGAAAAGAATTTGTTGCTGTCTGAAATATTTAGACGTATCATTAAGGGCAAGATCTTTTACAAACCCAAGGGCAATTACATCCCGGTATGAACGCCTCCAATACCGGATATCGTGTGCCGCGCATGCGATCCGAAGACCTTAGTTAGTGTGAACACGGCTTAAAATTCGCGACCGATATAAAGTAAATAGAAAAATGTAAAAAACAAAAAAAAAAAAAAAAAAATTAACAAAAACAATAATTACGATCGACACGAAGAAAATATGAATTTTACGAAATTGAGTTATAACGAGGGTAAACAGCAAAAGGTCCATAAAATGCAGGTAAAAGAGGGACTGGTACGCGGACTTTGATAATAGAACGCATTGAAAAATAAACAACTTTGGGCATATGATAATGATAATGATAAGTATAAACAAATAAGAAATTAGATTATTCAAAAAGTACTGCCTGGTCTTCTTATTTAAAAACAATTTGTCTCGCGAAAAGTCGACGGAAGTCAATGTTCATTTCCTCATTTGTCTTATTCCCCGTTTAAGCCACCACGGACTGCGTCGCCTAATAAAGATTTTTTAATTGTATCTTACGTTGATTTGGAGTATTATTCGTTTTACTCTTTTATTGTGAAACCCTATTTGATAAGTTATATAATTAAACGTTGAATGCGTTATTAAAAAACGTTCGTCCTCCTATAGTGAATCTCAATGTTGTGCAACTGATTTATGAATGTATTCCTTATATATTTATTTACGGACAGACTGCTATTACAAAAGACCTCGTCCGGTTTGAAGAGAATCAGAGAGAAAGAGTTTGAGATAGAGGGGGGGGAGGGAGGGAGGGAGCTATACACACAGAGAGAGAGAGAGAGTGTGTGTGTGAGAGAGAGAGAGAGAGAGAGAGAGAGAATGTATTATTATGATTAATTTAATAAGGCGATAGAGGCTAAGAGGCGTCCGATGGACTTTGATAGGGTTTAAGAAAAAATGAGTGAAATAGAGCAAGCGTGCACGTTGTTTTATGCTCCCTGCATTTGAGCGAGTTACCTAGGACTTATATATGTATATGTATATGTATATGTATACGTATATACATGCAAATACACGTACACATGGACGCATATAGACACAGCCACACACATGCGTACACATTACATCTACATATAATATAAATCGAAAAAAAATGAAAAAGAATGGAGTCTTTGAACGTTAAAAACGCTGGATCATGTTGAGAGAGTCTATCGACAATAAAGATGGCGAAGGCGATGTTGTCGATATGCAGCCATGGTTTTCAAAAATGTCTTCAAACGACTATGTATTTTAAACACTTTAGCGGCGTCGATCGTTTTCAACCGTATTTCTTTCTAATAATGTTTTCATTCAAAGTTACTCAAGTATATGTATTTTTAACCCTTGTTTGTCACGATAATTGTTTTTACGTATACGTATCAAAAACTATCAAAAACATAAAAAATATGTTTTTTCATCAAATTAATTTAGATTCTTTTATAAAATTTCTGTTAAAAACAGTAATAATGTGAATGAGATTATGATAATAGTTAAAATATTTTGAAATTTATATTATAGTTTTTGTTATTTCTGTGTCTCTAATGAATACTGCATTGTAGAATTAAAAAAAAAAATTTTAAATAATTTAATTACATATGTTTATATCAGGAAACATTTTAAAATAAAAAATATATAACTAAACTTTAACTAATTATTTTATTAATTGGTAAACATATTATTAGAAACTAATTAAGGCTTACACTTATTTTTTGCAAATAATCTTTATAATTTAAATAAGCAATATGAATTTTAAATATGCTCGTTGTTAAACTTTTTATTGTCTAATTGCATTAGGATATAAAAACAACTATTGTGAAACATTTCTTTAATTTTTTAAAAGATGACATTTAATTTTCTTTAGTTAAAATTTAAAAATATTAATCATCGAAGTGAAAGAGAGAAATTGTACTTTCTATTTGTTTGAAGAGGATCGATGCTACTTCAAAGTATTTCTTACTCGTGGATCGTTAGTACCATGATGTAGTAACATCATTGCCAGTTCTTTAAGCAGAAATTTAATGACTTTATGACTGTAAAACTTAATAAGGAAGTACAATGCTTTAACAAGACTACGATATTATTTTAGACTTATTGCTCTTTATGTAACAATTTTTTAGGCAGCACGAATAATTATTATGAAAAATCCGCCCCAATATATTGAAATTGCTCGCTTCCTAAAAATTTTGTAAAGGCATAGGAAAAATCACCAATGAATGTTCAAAAACAAAAAAATAAAAAAATAAATATAAACAAAAAAAAAAAAAAAAAAAAAAAAAATAAAAAAAAAAAAAAAATAACCACGAAACCCGTTTAAATTACGTGCATTTTTTTTTTATAATTTTCGTAGAGATTTCTGCAATCTTTTCTAACGACAATGCAATCGTGCTTTTTCAATTATAAAATAATACGAAAATACTGTAGTGAAACGAACAACGTTAAATTTGTAAATCATATGAGAGATGCTAGGAAATTTCAAGAGAGAAAAAAAAATAGCTAATTATTTATGTGAAAATAAGTCGGCGAGAGAATATTTGATTTGAGAACTAATAAAGGGGCATTGTTAAAGTTACTCAAATTTGCTTGCTTAAGTGCTTATTGTGAAACTGTTGCGACTGAAATGCAAACTGAAAGTAGTATGAATCATGTGCGTGTTAAAATTGTAGAATAATTATTACCATATAAATTGACTGCTCCCTTATCAGAATAGTTTTCGAACCAAAAAAAATGTTCACAAGTCAAAATATTATTATTGAAAATGTGCAGTATCACTTTTACAAATTAAATACGTCAATTTAATATTGCAACCAATGATTATACAAATATTTTTACGTAAAGTTTATTAATTTAGCTAAAAAAAAAAACGTCAGTAAAGCTCGTTACAATTTTTCAGTTATAATTTGTAATTTTTATTTTTTTTTCGTGATATTATATATCATGTTCGTGATTATATCTCATAAATTATTTTCAAATTAAAATATATAATATTGTAATTTTATTATTTATAGTGGCATAAATTATATCTTATAATTAATTTGGTCAAAAACTTATGAAGAGGGAGTCGATTGATGTTATATGCAATTACTTAGTTATATAATTCTATTTGTTGTAATAATTGTTTAATCTTGAATTCTCTAATAAGAGCAAAAAATCAAGAGAAATTTCGAACATTTCTTGTTTAAAAGGTGCTGACAATAACAGTTCAATAATATTTACATAATATTAATATATAATGACAATATACCAAAAATAAAAGAAAAATTTTATGAGCAATGTTTGTTCATAATATTTGAATATATTAAAATTAAAGTAAATTTAAAAATACGTACTTAAATGAGCTAGACGAATTCAATATTTTATTCGATCTATTTATTTTACCATTGGAGTCGATTGTTCTTCAATATAAGTTTATAATTTCTTTTACTTTTTATTTCGTTTTAAAGATTAGAAATGTATGACATGAAACTATAAATACTTAAGAAAGTAATTAAGAACGAAATTTTGACTTTGTAGTTTGGAAATAAGTAATTGTTTATTATTACTTATTTTTGTGTGATACTTGCTGATATATAGAAATTATTATTTTATTTCATTCTTTTTAGTTTCTGGAAAATTAGATTATAAATACATACGTACATAAGAAAGTAACGAAGGTCTAGAGAAGATCTTATTGTTATAAAATAAGTGACTATTTATTATTATTACATTGCAATGCTCTTCGATGTGAAACTCGTGTAGTATTTGGTTTTGTGAATTGAAAAAAAAAATATATATATAGATGGAGGTTAAAAAATTGCCATACACATATAAAATAATTGAATATTTATTATTACTTATTTCGTAAAGTACAGGTAACATATTTTCATTCGACGTTGCTTTACAATAATTAATTTGTTTTCTCTATTAATTTAATAAAAACTTAATAATAATAAACTAATTAAAATTAATTATAGTGTATTATAATAAAACTCGATAAATTTTCACTAAAATATAATTTACATTTAAAACAATTTTTTAATTTTTAATTTTTAATTTATATCGGTTAGTCTCGATGACAATACTAAAATAATTTTACAAAATGAAAATCTGTTTATTTTAAAAGCGACGCTTGAATCAATTTGATTCATTTTACTACGTCACAATAAATTTGCAGTTGTCATACGAATAAAATGATCAATTATTTTAATATTTTGATAAACGGCATCTTCCACATCGGGGAATGTAATATTTCATCTCATCAGCAACGACGAGCGAAAAACTTTTGACGAAGAGACATTTCTACCAACAACTATCCATTACCTTTCCTTTCAATCATCAAAGATTTTTATAGAAAAAAGTAAACTTTGAAAGCACTCGTTTCCTTCATTCTAATAGAATTTTTACAATTTTGATGCGCATTACTCTACATTTTACCTCAATTTTGATATGTTGTTATATTTGTTGAAAGTCTTTCTTATTTTTCAGTATATGAAATAAAAAATGTTTAAAATCTTAAAAGATAAAGCAGCTTTACGTTTCTTTACTTTCTTTTTTAATGATTCTTTTCACGACTTTAATTCAATTTTCAGCTCAGTACTTGCATATAAAGCAAATTACTTTGAAACATTTTCAGGTACCATGTACATCGGTTAAGTGTTTTTTGTTATTTTTGTCAAAATAACGATTCGTTTCTATTTAATAGATATGTATTTTTACCACTATGTTAGGTATAAAAAGTATGCAAATACTTCGACAAGTAACAAGTGCGTCACGCATGGATGATATAATTTATTATTTAATAAGAGCACGAGCAAATATAGCAGAGAAAGCTTAGTTAGATATTTTTCCAATCTATTATTAATTTTAAAATTTATTCTTCATTCCGGTTATTAGTTTATCATTGTAATAAATTTGTTTTAATCTATTATACATTTATTACAATATTATGAAGGAACAATAAAAGGGCTATACATTTGTTTAACAATAAATTTGTTTAGCAGGTATTTTAGAGTCAAAATATTTATCAATGTATACAGTATATATTATATTTCTGTATAATATTGATTTTATTTACTATTAATTTTTTTAATTTTCTGAATCTTTTTGAAAATTAGGATGATGAAATTAATTTTATACAAAAGTTTCTGATAACGTGAGTTTCATTTTAATATTATCACTTAATATAAATGGAAAA